TAAGTGTGTGTGAATGCTGTACCTGGCAGGCTGGTGGACACGTTGACCTGTGTGTCGTTAAGTGTGTAGGGAAGTGTGTCTGTAAGTGTGTGTGCATGCTGTACCTGGCAGGCTGGTGGACACGTTGACCTGTGTGTCGTTAAGTGTGTAGGGAAGTGTGTCTGTAAGTGTGTGTGAATGTTGTACCTGGCAGGCTGGTGGACACGTTGACCTGTGTGTCGTTAAGTGTGTAGGGAAGTGTGTCTGTAAGTGTGTGTGCATGCTGTACCTGGCAGGCTGGTGGACACGTTGACCTGTGTGTCGTTAAGTGTGTAGGGAAGTGTGTCTGTAAGTGTGTGTGAATGTTGTACCTGGCAGGCTGGTGGACACGTTGACCTGTGTGTCGTTAAGTGTGTAGGGAAGTGTGTCTGTAAGTGTGTGTGAATGCTGTACCTGGCAGGCTGGTGGACACGTTGACCTGTGTGTCGTTAAGTGTGTAGGGAAGTGTGTCTGTAAGTGTGTGTGAATGTTGTACCTGGCAGGCTGGTGGACACGTTGACCTGTGTGTCGTTAAGTGTGTAGGGAAGTGTGTCTGTAAGTGTGTGTGAATGCTGTACCTGGCAGGCTGGTACTAAGTGATGTCGTTAAGTGTGTAGGGAAGTGTGTCTGTAAGTGTGTGTGAATGCTGTACCTGGCAGGCTGGTGGACACGTTGACCTGTGTGTCGTTAAGTGTGTAGGGAAGTGTGTCTGTAAGTGTGTGTGAATGCTGTACCTGGCAGGCTGGTGGACACGTTGACCTGTGTGTCTTTAAGTGTGTAGGGAAGTGTGTCTGTAAGTGTGTGTGAATGCTGTACCTGGCAGGCTGGTGGACACGTTGACCTGTGTGTCTTTAAGTGTGTAGGGAAGTGTGTCTGTAAGTGTGTGTGAATGCTGTACCTGGCAGGCTGGTGGACACGTTGACCTGTGTGTCGTTAAGTGTGTAGGGAAGTGTGTCTGTAAGTGTGTGTGAATGCTGTACCTGGCAGGCTGGTGGACACGTTGACCTGTGTGTCGGTAAGTGTGTAGGGAAGTGTGTCTGTAAGTGTGTGTGAATGCTGTACCTGGCAGGCTGGTGGACACGTTGACCTGTGTGTCGTTAAGTGTGTAGGGAAGTGTGTCTGTAAGTGTGTGTGAATGTTGTACCTGGCAGGCTGGTGGACACGTTGACCTGTGTGTCGTTAAGTGTGTAGGGAAGTGTGTCTGTAAGTGTGTGTGAATGCTGTACCTGGCAGGCTGGTGGACACGTTGACCTGTGTGTCTTTAAGTGTGTAGGGAAGTGTGTCTGTAAGTGTGTGTGAATGCTGTACCTGGCAGGCTGGTGGACACGTTGACCTGTGTGTCGTTAAGTGTGTAGGGAAGTGTGTCTGTAAGTGTGTGTGAATGCTGTACCTGGCAGGCTGGTGGACACGTTGACCTGTGTGTCGTTAAGTGTGTAGGGAAGTGTGTCTGTAAGTGTGTGTGAATGTTGTACCTGGCAGGCTGGTGGACACGTTGACCTGTGTGTCGTTAAGTGTGTAGGGAAGTGTGTCTGTAAGTGTGTGTGCATGCTGTACCTGGCAGGCTGGTGGACACGTTGACCTGTGTGTCGTTAAGTGTGTAGGGAAGTGTGTCTGTAAGTGTGTGTGAATGTTGTACCTGGCAGGCTGGTGGACACGTTGACCTGTGTGTCGTTAAGTGTGTAGGGAAGTGTGTCTGTAAGTGTGTGTGAATGTTGTACCTGGCAGGCTGGTGGACACGTTGACCTGTGTGTCGTTAAGTGTGTAGGGAAGTGTGTCTGTAAGTGTGTGTGAATGCTGTACCTGGCAGGCTGGTGGACACGTTGACCTGTGTGTCGTTAAGTGTGTAGGGAAGTGTGTCTGTAAGTGTGTGTGAATGCTGTACCTGGCAGGCTGGTGGACACGTTGACCTGTGTGTCGTTAAGTGTGTAGGGAAGTGTGTCTGTAAGTGTGTGTGAATGTTGTACCTGGCAGGCTGGTGGACACGTTGACCTGTGTGTCGTTAAGTGTGTAGGGAAGTGTGTCTGTAAGTGTGTGTGAATGCTGTACCTGGCAGGCTGGTGGACACGTTGACCTGTGTGTCGTTAAGTGTGTAGGGAAGTGTGTCTGTAAGTGTGTGTGAATGTTGTACCTGGCAGGCTGGTGGACACGTTGACCTGTGTGTCGTTAAGTGTGTAGGGAAGTGTGTCTGTAAGTGTGTGTGAATGCTGTACCTGGCAGGCTGGTACTAAGTGATGTCGTTAAGTGTGTAGGGAAGTGTGTCTGTAAGTGTGTGTGAATGCTGTACCTGGCAGGCTGGTGGACACGTTGACCTGTGTGTCGTTAAGTGTGTAGGGAAGTGTGTCTGTAAGTGTGTGTGAATGCTGTACCTGGCAGGCTGGTGGACACGTTGACCTGTGTGTCTTTAAGTGTGTAGGGAAGTGTGTCTGTAAGTGTGTGTGAATGCTGTACCTGGCAGGCTGGTGGACACGTTGACCTGTGTGTCGTTAAGTGTGTAGGGAAGTGTGTCTGTAAGTGTGTGTGCATGCTGTACCTGGCAGGCTGGTGGACACGTTGACCTGTGTGTCGTTAAGTGTGTAGGGAAGTGTGTCTGTAAGTGTGTGTGAATGCTGTACCTGGCAGGCTGGTGGACACGTTGACCTGTGTGTCTTTAAGTGTGTAGGGAAGTGTGTCTGTAAGTGTGTGTGAATGCTGTACCTGGCAGGCTGGTGGACACGTTGACCTGTGTGTCGTTAAGTGTGTAGGGAAGTGTGTCTGTAAGTGTGTGTGCATGCTGTACCTGGCAGGCTGGTGGACACGTTGACCTGTGTGTCGGTAAGTGTGTAGGGAAGTGTGTCTGTAAGTGTGTGTGAATGCTGTACCTGGCAGGCTGGTGGACACGTTGACCTGTGTGTCGTTAAGTGTGTAGGGAAGTGTGTCTGTAAGTGTGTGTGCATGCTGTACCTGGCAGGCTGGTGGACACGTTGACCTGTGTGTCGTTAAGTGTGTAGGGAAGTGTGTCTGTAAGTGTGTGTGAATGTTGTACCTGGCAGGCTGGTGGACACGTTGACCTGTGTGTCGTTAAGTGTGTAGGGAAGTGTGTCTGTAAGTGTGTGTGAATGCTGTACCTGGCAGGCTGGTGGACACGTTGACCTGTGTGTCGTTAAGTGTGTAGGGAAGTGTGTCTGTAAGTGTGTGTGAATGTTGTACCTGGCAGGCTGGTGGACACGTTGACCTGTGTGTCGTTAAGTGTGTAGGGAAGTGTGTCTGTAAGTGTGTGTGAATGCTGTACCTGGCAGGCTGGTGGACACGTTGACCTGTGTGTCGTTAAGTGTGTAGGGAAGTGTGTCTGTAAGTGTGTGTGAATGCTGTACCTGGCAGGCTGGTGGACACGTTGACCTGTGTGTCGTTAAGTGTGTAGGGAAGTGTGTCTGTAAGTGTGTGTGAATGCTGTACCTGGCAGGCTGGTGGACACGTTGACCTGTGTGTCGTTAAGTGTGTAGGGAAGTGTGTCTGTAAGTGTGTGTGAATGTTGTACCTGGCAGGCTGGTGGACACGTTGACCTGTGTGTCGTTAAGTGTGTAGGGAAGTGTGTCTGTAAGTGTGTGTGAATGCTGTACCTGGCAGGCTGGTGGACACGTTGACCTGTGTGTCGTTAAGTGTGTAGGGAAGTGTGTCTGTAAGTGTGTGTGAATGTTGTACCTGGCAGGCTGGTGGACACGTTGACCTGTGTGTCGTTAAGTGTGTAGGGAAGTGTGTCTGTAAGTGTGTGTGAATGCTGTACCTGGCAGGCTGGTACTAAGTGATGTCGTTAAGTGTGTAGGGAAGTGTGTCTGTAAGTGTGTGTGAATGCTGTACCTGGCAGGCTGGTGGACACGTTGACCTGTGTGTCGTTAAGTGTGTAGGGAAGTGTGTCTGTAAGTGTGTGTGAATGCTGTACCTGGCAGGCTGGTGGACACGTTGACCTGTGTGTCTTTAAGTGTGTAGGGAAGTGTGTCTGTAAGTGTGTGTGAATGCTGTACCTGGCAGGCTGGTGGACACGTTGACCTGTGTGTCGTTAAGTGTGTAGGGAAGTGTGTCTGTAAGTGTGTGTGAATGCTGTACCTGGCAGGCTGGTGGACACGTTGACCTGTGTGTCGGTAAGTGTGTAGGGAAGTGTGTCTGTAAGTGTGTGTGAATGCTGTACCTGGCAGGCTGGTGGACACGTTGACCTGTGTGTCGTTAAGTGTGTAGGGAAGTGTGTCTGTAAGTGTGTGTGAATGTTGTACCTGGCAGGCTGGTGGACACGTTGACCTGTGTGTCGTTAAGTGTGTAGGGAAGTGTGTCTGTAAGTGTGTGTGAATGCTGTACCTGGCAGGCTGGTGGACACGTTGACCTGTGTGTCGGTAAGTGTGTAGGGAAGTGTGTCTGTAAGTGTGTGTGAATGTTGTACCTGGCAGGCTGGTGGACACGTTGACCTGTGTGTCGTTAAGGGTGTAGGGAAGTGTGTCTGTAAGTGTGTGTGCATGCTGTACCTGGCAGGCTGGTGGACACGTTGACCTGTGTGTCGTTAAGTGTGTAGGGAAGTGTGTCTGTAAGTGTGTGTGAATGTTGTACCTGGCAGGCTGGTGGACACGTTGACCTGTGTGTCGTTAAGTGTGTAGGGAAGTGTGTCTGTAAGTGTGTGTGAATGTTGTACCTGGCAGGCTGGTGGACACGTTGACCTGTGTGTCGTTAAGTGTGTAGGGAAGTGTGTCTGTAAGTGTGTGTGAATGCTGTACCTGGCAGGCTGGTGGACACGTTGACCTGTGTGTCGTTAAGTGTGTAGGGAAGTGTGTCTGTAAGTGTGTGTGAATGCTGTACCTGGCAGGCTGGTGGACACGTTGACCTGTGTGTCGTTAAGTGTGTAGGGAAGTGTGTCTGTAAGTGTGTGTGAATGCTGTACCTGGCAGGCTGGTGGACACGTTGACCTGTGTGTCGTTAAGTGTGTAGGGAAGTGTGTCTGTAAGTGTGTGTGAATGCTGTACCTGGCAGGCTGGTGGACACGTTGACCTGTGTGTAGAAGCGTTTGTTGGGCAGCAGCTCGGAGACGCCGTTGCGAGCCTCGACGCTGAAGGAGTAGTTGGAGTTGGGCAGCAGGTTCACGAGGGTCACGGTTCTCTCGGTCAGGCCGCTCTGCTGCGGGACGAAGCCCACGCTGGATCCACACGGCTCACACTGGACCCTCGGGGCCCTCGGGGGCCCGACACACCGACGGCAGCCCACGCTGTAGCTCAGGTCCCCACGGCCCCCAGAGTCACTGGGCCCGGCCCAGTCCAGCACCAGCGTCGACTGCTTCAGTGTGAAGACCAGGTCCCGAGGGGGAGACGGAGGCCCTGCGGGACGAGAGAGAGAGAGAGGGAACGAATGAAGAACTTGTTGAGCTCGATTACAATAAAAATACTGACATGTTCATTACCAGAGATTAGGAGAAAAAAGAGATTATATTGAAGGAGTGGATTCTGGAAGCAACTGCTGCTTCAATGTATATCTAATCAGTGATTATAATCAAGGTATTAATCAATATTTTTCCTTCTAAATATCACATGAGTTGAATGACTTCTCTAGGCTTATGAGATTTTATTTTCTATAGACGTGTGCGATTACTGAAATGTTCTCTAATGTGTGTATTAAATATCTGAGAGGTGACTGAGGGTCTGACCCCTGCTAGGAGTACAGTAACGGCTTCCAGAAGGGAAATATGGACTCGTTTTGTTTGAGAAAGATCTTCAACGTGTTAAAATATATATAAATATATCTGTTCTTATTAGGTGAAATTCTTCATTAGGTGAAAACAGAGATTACTACTAGCAGCAAGATACATGGAAGCCTGTCACAAAAAGATCATGATGATTGAAAATGCATTGAAACAATTGTCATGCCAATAAAGCACATTTTGAATTGAATTGAATTGATTAGTGCGCATTAAATGATGCTTGTTGAGCTTGATTACAATAAAAATAGTGAAATGTTCATTACCACCACCACCAAAAAAAGATACTCTAATTAACATGATGATAATTACTCCTCAATGAACTTATTCTTTTTAATAATTTAACCCAATTAGATACAACTGGGTGAAGCTTAACAGAGCTTGAGGCTTAAAATCACTTGAGAGGAAATGAACGCAGGCCATGGAAGAGAGAGAGAGAGAGAGAGAGAGAGAGAGAGAGGGAGAGAGAGAGAGAGATGTTCAAGACTGCACTGAAAAGAAATTGGAACAGAAAAAAAATATTTTTGAAATTGCTAATGAATTCCTCAAACAACACATGGAAAGTTACAAATTTAATTAATTGTGAAATTTTGAAGTAGAAAACCTGAAATAAGTATTTTCCTGTAATATGTACTCCAATCATTTTTTGTTTTATTTACAAGTTACTACATCTAAAAACTGGCAAAACTGTGTTGAAAAAAAATGTTTTTAAATATTTGAAATTGAAATTGAACTTAAAATCAATTGCATTTGAATTGATTAAAATTAAATTCAGACAATAGCTTAATAAAAATCACCATAAAACAACACTTAAATCCAACACTTTTGGCTACTTTCATAATATACTTGAATACACTTTTCATATATACACTTGAAGGTAAGTCCAGAGAATTCCTTCATTTCCACCCACAGAAAGCGTGCAGATTTCAAAAGGACATACAGTATAACTTACACAGGAACTGGAACACAGCAGCTGGACTCAACCACTGCTTATGAACTCGTTTCTCAGATTGTAGGATGAGTTTGTGATGAAAAGCAGTTGATTTCAAGATCAGATCAAGGACTCTAAAGCGTCTGTACAGAACTAGAACTGCATGTGTGAGTTTCTGCATTCACAACAACTTCCAGAAGCCTCCACTGATTTATGGAGAATGGTGTGGGCAGAATAAATGAGTCTCTTATCTCATAAAGAGAGAGAGAGAGAGAGAGAGCGATAGAGAGAGAGAGGGTCAGGGAGGAGAGGGATCGGATGCATTAATTGCTGCTGTCCTGTATTGGGACTGTTCTGCTGATGTTCTGCTGATGTTCTGCTGATGTTCTGCTGACTCGGGTCGAGCGGGTCGAGGCCGGAGACCCGCGTCTACAATGTCGCCTGTGAAGGGTTGGTCAAAATCCCTTGCCTCTTCAAATACATCTATAATCATATATCCTTTTGAATGCTTATATACTTCCTTTATAAATATATTCATTATCACATAATCATTTTTATATTCTTTGTGCTTGTGAAATTATATTTTCTTAAATGCATGTGATGTAAGTAACCAGTTTCTTTTAGGTGCATTCCAATCTTACTTTGAGATTGCACGCAGTACACGCAGGACACGAAGGCCACGTAACCCACAAGGCCGTTTCTCTCTTTCTCTTGGATCAGTAGGAAGGTTTATAGAGGGTCCTAAAGGCAGCGTGGGCACATATGATCCTTCGTTGGACATATGGTCAAGCTATATTGAGCGTTACTATATCGAACTTCAATTGTTGTATTAAAATGTATTCTTTCCAGTATATTTCCTTCCTTGGGAGTAAATGCCAGTGATCTGTTTTTCTCCCAAACGAGTGAATGTTTTAGCATTATGTTTTGGTATACTTAACTGATAATAAGGAGCTCAGACTCTCTTCAGCCTTGATGGGAGCTGTTATTTGCTAGTGTCTGTTATTTGTGTGTGTGTGCGTATGACATTCTATGTAGGTTCTGGACGTTCGGACCAGACACCCCGGCGCCCTTCTCTAACCTGCGAGGCCACCACAGACCTAAATCCAATGAGTGGACGACAACTATCTTGACTAATGGCGATAGGCACCCCTATCTCCTCACATGTGTTACATTGTTTAGGCTCTCATGTTTCTTAGCCAATGAGAATCATTCAACCTGTAAGCAATGACGTAGCTTAGACCGTGGAAATGGTATAACTGCTGTGATCTTTGTAACTGTAAGGGAGGCGGCCTACGAACTCCTGTGTGAGTCTTGAAGCTGACTTCTGCTGATGAAAATGCAAACTATCTTCAGTAAAACTTTTCTTTAATTTTTTATAATTCTGACTCCGGGTCTTCATTCTTCATATCTGGTTCTGGGTCTTTGACTGTATACCCCTTACACCTGTCAAACTGGAATCTTTCAGCAGCAGGAAGACATTTTAATGTCACCAGAGCTTTAAGATATTAATCATCAGCTCAGACCAGGAGCACTACAGGTGCAGACGCTGCCCTCACACACACACACACACACACTAACTCACTCACACTCACTCACTGACTCACACACTCGCTCGCTCACTCACTCAGTTACTTACTCACACACTCACTCACTTGCTCAGTCACTCACTCACTCACTCACTCACTCACTCACTCACTCACTCACTCGCTCACTCAGTCACTCACTCAGTCAGTCAGTCCCTCACTCAGTCACTCACTCACTCACTCAGGCAGTCACTCACTCACTCACTCAGGCAGTCACTCACTCACTCATTCGCTCACTCAGTCAGTCCCTCACTCAGTCACTCACTCACTCAGTCAGTCCCTCACTCACTCACTCACTCACTCAGGCAGACACTCACTCACTCATTCGCTCACTCAGTCACTCACTCAGTCAGTCCCTCACTCACTCACTCACTCACTCACTCACTCAGTCCCTCGCTCACTCACTCAGTCAGTCACTCAGTCACTCAGTCAGTCAGTCCCTCACTCACTCACTCAGTCAGTCCCTCACTCACTCACTCAGTCAGTCCCTCACTCACTCACTCACTCAGTCAGTCCCTCACTCACTCACTCACTCACTCACTCACTCACTCACTCACTCACTCAGTCAGTCACTCAGTCACTCAGTCAGTCAGTCCCTCACTCACTCACTCAGTCAGTCCCTCACTCACTCACTCACTCACACTTACTCACTCACTCGCTCACTCGCTCACACTCACTCACACTCACTCATTCACTCACTCAGGCACTCACTCACTCAGGCACTCACTCACTCAGGCACTCACTCACTCACTCAGTCACTCACTCAGTCACTCACACTTACTCACTCGCTCACTCGCTCACACTCACTCACACTCACTCACACTCACTCACTCACTCACTCACTCACTCAGTCACTCAGTCACTCAGTCACTCAGTCACTCAGTCACTCAGGCACTCAGGCACTCACTCAGGCACTCACTCAGTCACTCAGTCACTCAGGCACTCACTCAGTCACTCACTCAGTCACTCACTCAGTCACTCACTCAGGCACTCACTCAGTCACTCACTCAGTCACTCAGTCACTCAGTCAGTCACTCACTCACTCAGTCACTCACTCAGTCACTCACTCAGTCACTCACTCAGTCACTCACTCAGTCACTCACTCAGTCACTCACTCACTCAGTCACTCAGTCACTCAGTCACTCAGTCACTCAGTCACTCACTCAGTCACTCACTCAGTCACTCACTCAGTCACTCACTCACTCACTCAGTCACTCACTCACTCAGTCACTCAGGCACTCACTCAGTCACTCAGGCACTCACTCAGTCACTCAGTCACTCAGTCACTCACTCAGTCACTCACTCAGTCACTCAGTCACTCACTCACTCACTCACTTACTCACTCAGGCACTCACTCAGGCACTCACTCAGTCACTCACTCACTCACTCAGGCACTCACTCAGTCACTCACTCAGTCACTCACTCAGGCACTCACTCACTCACTCACTCAGTCACTCACTCACTCATTTAGTCAGTCAGTCACTCAGTCACTCAGTCACTCACTCACTTACTCACTCAGGCACTAACTCAGGCACTCACTCAGTCACTCACTCACTCACTCAGGCACTCACTCAGTCACTCACTCAGTCACTCACTCAGGCACTCACTCACTCACTCACTCACTCAGGCACTCACTCACTCAGTCACTCACTCAGTCACTCACTCAGTCACTCAGTCACTCACTCACTCACTCACTCAGGCACTCACTCACTCACTCAGTCAGTCACTCAGTCACATTTACTCACTCAGGCACTCACTCACTCAGGCACTCACTCACTCACTCAGTCACTCACTCAGTCACTCACACTTACTCGCTCACTCGCTCACACTCACTCACACTCACTCACACTCACTCAGTCACTCACTCAGTCACTCACTCACTCAGTCACTCAGTCACTCAGGCACTCACTCAGTCACTCAGGCACTCACTCAGTCACTCACTCACTCAGTCACTCAGTCACTCAGGCACTCACTCAGTCACTCACTCAGTCACTCACTCACTCACTCAGTCACTCACTCACTCAGTCACTCAGTCACTCAGTCACTCAGTCACTCAGTCAGTCACTCACTCAGTCACTCACTCAGTCACTCACTCAGTCACTCACTCAC